TATATATATATATATATATATGTTTGGCTCAACAAAGAATCACTAATATCACTTCCAAGACTGAACAAAACTACTATTTCGCTTTGCAAACACATGGGGAAAGTTCTAGACATCAAATGCAATGCATAGAATAACACACAAACCTCACACATTCATGGCACATAACTCACTCAGGATTGGACTCATCAAGACACTCTAGTCAAAGCAGTTATGCCAATTTAATATAATACAATTTAAGGTACTTATACAAGAGTCAAAAACTGAGCGTAAGCGTCACAAAATCAAGATATATTGCTTCAATTTAATTCACAACACCATGGCTGCTCTCCAAAAAAAATAAAACTACCTACACCCGGTTCAAACAAACCCCTTGGAAAAGAACTGCGTCACAAAGAAAAATCAAGGGGGAATTACTACATTACCTACAAAGAAAATTTTTTTGTCCTTTTTCGTTACACTTAAATCCCTCAAAAAAACTGTCTAGGAGATCCATCGGCGGGAAAAGTCCAATTTTTCTGCCTTTTTTTTATAGCTACTAAAATACTACACAACTACGAAATCAAAAATAAGAAGTTAACATTTTTTTTACATCCTACTAATCATCTAGAGAATTCTCCCACCTTAAACATAAAAGAGTGTTGTGTTCCAAATGCACAAATAAAGCAAAACAATAACAAGGGTGGACAAGAAACTCCCTGAAAGGCCAAAAGCCGAAGCATTAACGGCTCATAGTCCTTTGTGCGGTCACCCACACTTAGTTCTCACCATCTAACTCTCTTTTCCACTCTTCCAATGACTTTGCCTCATGTATACGGCTAAAATCGGGAAGATCAATTTTACGGTCGACGACGCATTGCATAATTTCACCTCGAGGGGCCCGAAGAATAGCTCGGGGTTTGGAGTCTTCGAGGACTCTTCGTGCCGGTGATGGGGCAGAATGAACCGGTGCTTATCGTATGTATGCGGGAAATTCCCTAGGAGCAGTATTTTCTGACAACGCCTGCGTAAATAGTGACAACCTGCACCAGGCTGATTGAGTGGTTGTACCAGCTACTTTATGTAATAATTACACATGTGTCATATTAGGATTTTCCCCTCATATATAAGGGGAACCCTTGATATTTTTATAGGGGATCTGATACTCAATAATGAATAGACAAGAACATTCCCTCCGCTTCCTAACTTAACATATTATCTTGATCTCTCTACTTACATTTATTGCTTATACTTATTGTGTTCTATTTATTGTTCTTCATTTATTGCTCATTATTGGTCATAAAGAGCTGCCATAGAATTTATCATAACCATTAATCCTCCATTGATGACCCTTAGCCGGGCACCCGACTCGATCTCGAGGCCCCGATATCCAGCCATTCGGTTTGATTATGTCACCATCTACAAGCTACTATATTATTTTCTAGTCCTTCACTTAGCATCTATTGCCTAACAACTAGCATAAAAATAGATCACGTATTTTTAGAACCACAAAATCAAATCTAATTGTTATTACCATTTTCACGGTAAACACCTCTTATTCTTATAATCATACAAAACAAAAATAACACTACAACAATAATAATATAAAAATAAAAATAAAAATAAAAATAAAAGAAAGCAGGAAAGATGGGTTGCCTCCTAACAAGCGTTTGATTTAACGTCGTGGCATGACACTGCTACTCTGCTCAGGTTGGGAGCTTTCTCTTCTTCTATCTCCCATTAAGACTAGCCTTTTTACACTCTCTCAGAAGATCTCCTTTTTCATCTCTAGCTCTTTTCTCAATCATCCTTACACACTGACCTTGCAACACCACCTCATCCAACTCAGTCGTCCTATCCGAATCACTATAATTCACATCAGGACTCTGCTCTATTCCCTTCAGTTCTACCGTAGTAATCATGCACAAGTCCTGATAATGCTTAGGGAGCTTAAGTGCCTTGTACACATTAAAAGTAATTTCCTCATTACCAACTCTCATCTTCAACTTTCCTTCCCTAACATCAATAAGCGCTCCACCAGTAGCTAAGAATGGTCACCCTAAAATAACGGGTACTTCTTCATCCGCCTCGTAATAAGAACAATAAAATCAGCAGGAAGAATAAACTTTCCCACTCGAACTAACACATCCTCAATAATTCCTTCTGGCATAACAAGTGACGTATCTGTCAACTGTAAAGTGATTGTAGTAGGTCTAAGCACCCCCAATCCGAGTTGCTTGAACAAAGAGGATGACATCAAATTTATACTAGCCCCTAAATCAGATAGGGCTCTACCAACTTTTTGTTTTCCAAGAGACATGGGAATTGTGAAACACCCATGATCCTTCAACTTAGGAGGGAGTTTACTTTGAACTCTAGCACTACACTCTTCAGTAAGTGAAAATGTTTCAAACTCCATATGTCTTCGCTTGTTTGCCACAATATCTCTGAGATACCTTGTATACTTAGGCATTTCCTGCAAAATTTCTACAAAAGGTAAATTCACACTTATGTGGCTCAAAATATCTAAGAATTTATTGTACATAGCATTATCTTTTTGCTTTTGCAGTCTTTGTGGAAACGGGTGGTGGCCTTGTCACAATTTTTGGTTTTTCTTTCTTATTCTCCTCAATGGGCTAAGGAACTAATTCTCCTTCAGGTCTAGCTATATACTTCTTTTTCTCTGGAACTCCTTCTAATCCTCTTCCATTTCTCAAGGTAACCACATTGACTTGAGCCTTAATATTAGGTTTAGTATCACTCGGGAAAGCTCCAGCAGGTCTAGTATTCTGATTGTTAGCCATTTGCCCAAACTGCCTCTCTAGATTTCTGAATTCTGTGCGTAATTGTTGATTGTCTATCAAGAGATTTTTCATCATATCAGTCCAAGTCTCTTCTGCTTGGTGTAGGGGTTGAGGTGGATGATTGTAATTCGCTTGAGGCCTGATATTCTGATTTCCTCCCCAAGAGAAGTTAGGATGATTCCTCCAGTTCAGATTGTATGTGTTACCATATTGAGCATATTGATTCATCGGCACTCTAGCTTGTTGCCCCACATAGTAAATTGATTCAGGATTCACGGGACATATGTCACTTGTGTGACCTTCACCACATAACTCGCAACAAGTAAGCATTTGTTGCACATGTTGCATCTGTTGTGCATGGTGCATTGTCATTTTATTCATCTAATTTGCTAATCTCGCTATTTCTGCCCTTATTGCTGAGAAGACATCAAACTCGATCACACCTGCTGCCTTTTGTTTAAGTGCTCTTCGTGGTTCCCTTTCTCCTTGGCAATTTTTATCATTAGCAGTGAAATTATTTAGTAGAATCTAGATCTCACTATACGGTCTTGCCATGCAGCTACCCGTACATGCTGAGTCAAAATTCATCGTTGATGCCTCGTCCAACCCATCAATGAAAGTGTGACCCAACACCTCATCAGTTTGACAATGATGTGGGCAGTCTCTGAGTAGCTTCTTGTACCTTTCACAAGCTTGTCAGAGAGTCTCTCCATCTCATTGTTGAAACCCTAGAATTTGGCTCCTCAGTGACTTTGTCTTCTTTGTGGGAAAAACGTGATTAATAATTTCCTTGCAAGATCATCCCAATTGTGGATTGAGTTCACGAGCTCCTTTTGTAACCATTCCTTAGCTTCCCCCAACAATGAAAAGGGAAGCAATGTCAGTAAGACATAATCCTTTGAAACATTCAGATAATTGTAAGTGTCTGTAATTTCCAAGAAGTTCTGAATGTGTTACATCTCGTGTTTAGTACGTTAAAGTTTCATCTTCAGTTAATCGACATATACTTGGGGAAAAGATTATCTTAAGGTTAACATATTTATGCTATTTATAACAAGCGATAAGTAAGTGTTATAAAGAATAAAGGGTATACAAACTAAAGAAAATGAATTTCGTTGAAGGTTGCCAATCTAGGATAAAATATGGGTCGAGCGATAGTACCCGATATTTATGGACTAGTACCATACAAGGTACCATATGACCATGATAGAATTATGTATAAAGTGTATTAAAAATAAGTAGAATTTTAAGTAATTTGAGACAATTCTTAATTATGCGGGTAATTGTTTAGTTACCAGATAATTGGACATTACCTAATTACCTGATAAGTGGATAAAGATTAATGATTTATATCCCACCCATCCAAAAAATGTGGCAGCCAACCACTTCCCAAACAATGACTCTTAGTCATTTTTGGATTAGGTGGCAACATACCTTATTAATTTCAAGACACTTCACTTTTTCTATATCATGTATTCAATCACTACAATCAAACCTTAGCCATCATTGCCATCCAAATACGTTAACCAGCAGGTGACAATTAAGAAACTCTACCAAATCCAATAATAAGCCATTTTACACCCAAAACGTTTTTCAACCAAAATTCTTACAACTAGAACGTTAGCAAGCCTTCAACAAAACGTGAATTCTTGCAACTAAAAGGAATCCAACGTGAATTTTTAGCAACGTAAAATTTTGCGGTTCTAAAGGAGTACGGTGCATCCTATTCCAAGAACATCATACGGATTTTTCCCTACTCCAGGTATGTTAAGGCTATCCCTTCTTTCTTTTTGGCATGATCCATACGGTACAAACAAAACGAGAATATGTATAACTTCCATAAATAACACTATTCGTAGAGATTCTAAGGATGCCTATGTTCTTGATTTCCATATGTCTTATTATTCTATCATATGTTCATGGTTCTCAGAAAATATGTAAGTTGATAAAGTTTGTTTCATGATATTAATCAGAGGTAAAATGGTCTTATGACATTCCGAGAGATTTTATTGACGTACTTCTCATGCATTGCATTCATTTATACATGTACATTGACCCATGACCAGATGGTGTTATATACGCACATATATTTATGTATATATATGTATATGGGATATGAGAAAAGGTTACGATGTTATATACGCATCACCACCTGATCAGTGGGTATATGTTGATGATGTTGCCCATAGTGGCGGAGATGATATGATGGGATGCCCTCAAAGGCTTGATGATGTTATGTACACCTATACCTATGCATGACACGACATTTATATGCACGTGCATGACATTATAAATGTTTCAGAATTTATAAATTTATTCAGATTTACAGATAGATCTCTTTATTTCATGTGTCATCTATGTCTTTTATGTACTGATTTTCATGCCTTACATACTCAGTATATATGTATATGGGTATGACTTGGCTAAGTCCTATCTTTGTACAGTTATATTTCTATTAGAGGTTTGTAGACAGTTATGTATAGTTGGATAACATATGGCTTTGTCGGCTTTCAGTTTTGGGTATATACTTGTCTATAGCAGCCTTGTCGGCTCGCCCACTGTATTCTGCATATATATGTGCATATGCCTTTTTGGCAGGTTTTCTTCATGTATTTTATTCTCATAATTCAACAGACGTTATTCATGTTTATATCATAGACGCATGCGTAGGGGTGTTCGATAAGTAGGACTCGGGCACCTGTCGCGGCCCATTGGTTTGGGTCGTGACAAAAGTGATATCAGAGCAGTTTTGTCCTTAGGTTGTCTACAGATCGTGTCTAGTAGAGTCTTGTTTGTGAGTGTGTTGTGCATTACACTTATAGATAGGAGGCTACAAGACATATAAGATGTTATCTTCTCTTTTTATATTAGATCATGCGATACAAAAATTCATGTTCCTAAAGATATATTACGTTTTAGCGATGCCTCCGAAGACTACAGCCGCCCAGAAGGGAAAGTCCGTGGCTGGTGAGACTACTAGTCAAGTACCACGAGTTACCAGGGCTTGGGGAGGGTCTCATAATGAGATCCTATCTTAGACTTCACATACCCCGCTCTCTCCAGAAAAGTTCCGAGGGGCATCTTCTCTAGTCCCCCTTTGTATAGGCTAAAAGCTAGAGGAAAAAGGAGAGAAAAGTCTCATAGGCACACTTACAAGGTCAGTATCATAGAGGTTTCATGATAGAAGGTAGAAATATTTACAAGATTGAAAGGAATTCGATCACAAATCATGGCATGGGAAAGAGGCCTAAAGAGGGGGGGGGGATGGCCTAACCTTTAGATTTATTTACAGAACAACTACCTAAATGGCAAGGAAAGTATTAAGGTATTCACGAAAGCTATATGTTATGAAAATGATAGGAGCATCAGTCAACATTCGAGGACGAATGTTCCAAATGGGGGAATGATGTTACACCCCGCAATATTACGTCAATATTACGTCCCTTAGTGTTATATTACGATGATGTTACACTTCCCAGTATTAAATTATGATGATGTTACACCCTATAGTATTGTACGTTGAATTTGTCGTAAGGTAATTGACATCAGTCTAAGGCAAAGATTATTTAGAGATTATACGGATTATACTATTTCAAACAAGTGATGAGAAAATTCTTGAAGGTGAGAGGAGAAGCAAGTCAAAAAAAATGAATTTTCGTCCAAGTTTGGCATGATCCATACGATTCAAACAAAACGTGCAAATGCACAACTTCCATAAATGACTCTATTTATAGAAATTCTAGAGATGCTTATGTTCTTGATTCTCCATGTGTCATATTATTCTATCGTCTCAGAAAAATACGTAAGTTAAAAAAGTTTACTTGATGATATCATTCAAAGTCATAATGGTCTTAAGACACTCCAAGAGATTTTATTGATGTACTTCTCATGCATTGCATACATATATATTGACCCATGACCAGGTGGCATTATATACACATATATATATGTAAATTATATGTATATGGGAAATGCGAAAAGGTTACGGCATTATACACACACCACCACCTGATAAGTTGGTATACGTTGATGATTTGCCCATAATGGTCGAGATGATATGATGGGATGCCCTCGGAGGCTTGATGATGTTATGAACACATATACCCATGCATGGTATGACATTTATACGCATATGCATGACATTATAAAAATGAAATGATTTACAGAGCTATGCAAACGTACATGTCGAGTCTTTTACTCCATGTCTCTCTCAAGTCTATTATTTACTGATTTCCATTCCTTACATACTCGGTATATTTTTGTACTGACATCCCTTTTTCCTGGGGACGCTGTGTTTCATGCCTGCAGGTCCCGATAGACAGGTCGAGAGCCCTCCAAGTAGGCTATCAACTCAGCAGAAGATGTTGGTGTGCTCCATTTACTTCGAAGTTACTTGTTTGGTTAGCATGGTTTAGATGTGAATTCTTAAAGGCTTGTAGAAAATATCATGTACGTAAAAGTTTGTATGCCCTTGTCGGCCTATGTTCAGTATACGAGTGGTTATTTTGTCCTTATAGGCCCGTACATCATATGTATAAGTTTGGATTATATGTTGGATCATCTAATGTCAAGTATTTCTCCATATTTTATTGTACTTATCTCATGAAAGCCTCTCTGAATCAGTTACCTATGATAGTATGAAACAAAACATATGTTACGTAGGTACTCG